TGTGTGTGTGTGTGTGTGTGTGTGTGTGTGTGTGTGTGTGTGTGTGTGTTGAGGGAATCCTGTGTGTTAATGTGTTTTACTGGAAATTGAAGACCTTACCTATATTGCTCTGTGTGTGTGTGTTGGTGGGGAATCCTGTATATTATGTATTTTACTGGAAATTGAAGATTTACCTATATTTCTGGGTAAGTGCACCATCAATGAACTATACCCACAGTCCAGAAGAGTATTCTGGAAGTGTGTTCCAGGATTGAACTGACAATTGGCTTGAATTCTGTCTGGCTAGAAATATTCTGTTCTTGGGCCAATGAGATGACTCAGCAGATAAGCAGTTTGCTGTCAAGCCTTATAAGTTTGACCTCCTGAGCCCTCATGGTAGAAGAAGCAACTCTTGTAAGGTGTCTCCTAACCACCACATATGCACCATGGCACATGTGCAACACACATACACATAACAATAAAAGTTTTATAAAAAGAATTACCCTATTTGTATGTAAGAGTGGCTTGATTATCACCTCTGAAACCTTTCTCAGTCTTCTGCCTCCCATGTTTTACTGTCTATGTGACTTGGGGATAAAGTAGGTTCTTTGCTCATTCTGTTTGTGGATATAGTCTCAAAATAGGGAAGAGAGGAAGAGGAACCGTTTTGGGGGGAAAAATCTTCAGTCTGCCCATTTCATAAGTTTACACAAAATGGTACAAGCTCTGACACAGGTGACCTGATACAAATCCTAGTTTTGCTGCTTGTTTGCTTTGACTATGGCCAACTCTTGAGTTTAAGCCTGGGAACAGTAACAATATTCATTTAGAGGGGTTTGTGAAACTTGGATGTTGTTTTTTAATGTGTTGACGTTTAGTTGTTTTGACTGTTGAAATATTGGTGCTATGAACATTGTTGTACATAAATCCTGAAATGCAAATTATCTAGAATGTACACTCTGGTAAAGAATATTTAGGTATGGGAGTCTGTTAAATTAATGACATCAAAATTTCTCTAAAAGAGATTGGAC